CCTCTGTGCTGATTTTACTGCCGTGTCTTCCTGACAGGATTAAAGGAGTTAAAGGCCACCAGCTTGTAAACTGTAGCAGGACGTGGCCGGCCTGTCTGAAGAGGAAGTCTACGCTCTTCCCAAGGCCGAGATTGTGCAACACATTTAGCAAAGCTTCGGCATGCCAGTCGCACTCGGACACTGCTCAGTCACTACTCCAGATGCCTAGATCCAGGAATGCCTTGAAGTGCGCGCAGGTACGGTTCACAGCCAAAGACATGCAGCAGTGCTCCATTTGCTTAGAAGGGTTTCAGGACCGCGCACATGCATTATCTTGCTACCCAGTGCTTTGCATGAGCCCTAACCGGCCGATGTAGAGAAGTAGGAAGATCACATGATCACAGACTTGTGGGAAGTACGCCCTTGCTTGGTGTTTGGAGGTTGTGCTGTGCTGTCATAGGAGGGCGAGATCCTCACCGCACTGCGCTGTGGGCATTTCTTCCACGTGGAGCTGGGGCCTAGTTGCACATGTGTGGGTGCGCACAGACTATGTACGCACTGGACAGCCGCGGCAACACTGCAGCCCAACAGAAATCTAAACCTATTCCAGCACGATCTCTTTGAGGTTACGGTGTAGGATGTGGGGGTTGTGAGCAAACACTTACATGAATCTGGCAGCACAACGTTCGTACATTTCATCACTCGTCCAGCTGCCTTCTCCCACCACCTACAAGAATGCTACTTGCCATGCGTTAGCATCTACAAGTCAGCACACAATAAGAATGGGCCCGCATGCGTGTGAGTTCGCATGCGTGCACACATTCTTGCAGGCGTGCATGCGTGCGTGTGTCTGTGTGTGTGTGTGTGTGCGCGTGCATAGTTTCAGCAAGGGTAGGTGGCAATTGAATGGCCTGTCGGTCTGCCATGACTGGCATTTGGCACGGTGGTTCCGAATGGGGGCTTCACATTGTTCGCAGTTCTGTCTCGCTAGTGATGCGTTGAATGTCGTTCGCTGGTTCTGAGGTGTGTGGCAAACTGGATGCCAGACCCTGATCTGTTTGCTTTCAGAGTAGCTACTGTAATGTGTACAGATCGAAAATCAACTTGACAAGGCCACAACTGTTTATGTTACCGATAAGTGCGGGTTGGGTGTTGGGCCATCTTCCAGCGGTGTCAACTCCATGATCCACCTTGCGCAGAAATTCCAAGGCAACGAGCAGCATTCTGCCCTCTATGTCGAGCAAACTGTGCCGATTGAGTTTTGTGCCGACAGCACGAAACGTCATGAAACGTCTTGTTTTTTTCGACAGAGCCTGCGAAGTTACGCAGCATCCAGTCTCACCTCAGTTGCAGAACATGTCCTGACACAGGAAGCATGACGTGTTTCACCTTCACATCCTCACATCACTTCTGTTTTTACATGTTTTAAGAATTTTAAATTGCCGTTGCAGCACTATCAAAGTCATCAAGACCTGTGAAACAAAACATCAAATCTTGTGTGGAATGCACTGCAGATGCTGAGTGGAGAAGGATCCATTGCGGTCGCAGTGACAGCAGCATGGCAAATTCTTGCATAGGCAGGCACCTTGCCTCATGCTGGGGCTTGGGATGCGCCCGTTTGGAGCCTCCTTGCCAATCCAGAAGTTGAAGTGGCCTGTCAGAATTCGAGTGAAGTACATGAAGGTACCGCTTGCAGGTGCTAGGCACATCATGCCCCCCAGTTGGGCATGTAACTTCTGCTCTAGCCACGTGTGTGTCACCAAAATTTGCTATGCAATCGTAGTCAACTATGTCGAACATGTTCGTAGAAATTGTCTTACATAGGTTGTTGTCAGTAGCCTGTCTTCTCCAGTAGTCTGGAGATGACTGGCAACCACCCTTCCATCTTGCTTAGTCCAGAAGTGGAGTACAGGTGACACCTGAGTCGAGATGCGTAACTCGTCGTACCTCATTTGATTGAGTTTTTCTTTGCCCATATCGACTCTTGATGTCCATGGGGTGATTCCGTGTTGTGTGTAACGATGCCAGCAAAATTCAGCAGAAGTGTGCACAGAAGAGATTCGTCGGTTCTGAGAGTTCGGAGCGGCCAAGCTCCAGACACTCCTGGGCGAAGCACAGTTTACCAAGGATGGTATATGGCTGAAGCTGTCCCGAAGGACATGCCTCAGCTGGTGGAAGCTTGAGATCAATCGAAATGGGCTGCAGGGAAAATGAGGGCATTTCGTGATCATGAAAATGCTCGTGGCATGAGTGCTTTCTGCGTGAAGGTCTCCTGTACAGCCGATATTCTCCACGGTTTCTGAAGCCATCCCCGTCCAAGTCTTCCCATCCGTTCTCGCACAAGCAAAGGCCATATTTGATGTTTCCTCGGGTGCGCGAAAAACATGGCCACGTGTTTAAGGCGAGCACCAGGAAGCGTGCCTTTTGTTCAGGTCTTCTTCCAACATGGCTGAGGCCAGGAGCGAGACATGATCAGCTTTAAGCACGTTGCTTCCAGTACGTTGAATCCAACAAAGTTGGGCGAAGTTGGGCAAAGTTGGGCAGGCAGCCGAGGCCCCGCAGCACATCCAGCTGAAGGTGCGAACATGTTTGACATGCCAAAAAGGGTATATTTGCCAAGAGCTTCTTAAGTGATGGTCGAGGGAATAGTAGGGAATTGTTTGCTTTGTTTTTTGCCATCCTGCTGAGGTGAAGGACCAGCAAGGCAGTGAGGCCCCATGTGCTTGTCGTTCATGACTTCGGTGCCTTATTTCGCAATCTGGCGGCGGGGAGGTCCAGTTCAAGATCAAGAAGACAACTCCGTTGAGGCGCAGTCTGCTCCAGGTGACCTGCCAGTCGGGCTTCCAGTTTGAAATTGTTTCCAGGAAGCTTATGGATGCCTACTGCAGCCGCCTGGGCCTGCAAGCATCCCAGGCACGGCAAAGCAGGAGATTTGCCCCATGGGTGATTCGCCAACTTGCATCCTAAGCAGCTCTGCGGTCACTTTGCCACTAGGTGCGGTTCATGGTGGATGGAGAGCGCATTGCGGCCGATGACACAGCAGAAAAGCTCGGACTCGAGGAGAGCCTATTGTGCATGTATGTGATTGTTTGGTGTCTTGTGGTCTTGGCTTCCCTTCGTGGGAACAAGTCGCACACATGCAGGATGAGGATTTGATTGATGTGGCCATGGAGCAGACAGGCGACGAGTTGACGGATGCGATTGCGTCATCTTGCATTCATGGAAATTTTTACCGCACCTTGAGCATCATATTAGTAGCTAACATAGATACGCAGCTGTCAGACAGGCAGCTGTACTGGCTTGCTGCTTCATGAATTGAATCACGGCCGGGTTTTGGCTTGTGCGGCTTCAGTAAGACAGTGGAGGTGTCTTGTTTTCAGCTTCCGGGCATAGCCTTGATTGCCTGAATCTGAAACTTTCCAAGACCGAGTGCTTGACCGGGAGCTCTAGATATACCTGTGCGCCCGTTCGACATGCGCACTTGTGTGCACGCATCCCGGCAGTAGCAGCGAACAGTTTGGCTTGGTGGCAGAGTGCCGTTATAGCGGAAGGGGGGCAGCCCGACATCGCTTCCTTTACATGGTATGAATGTTGTCACGCCAGCTGACCTCACTCCCGTCGCATGACAATGTTGCTTTCCATGCCAAGCTCAAAAATGAACGGGTGACACGGGTGACACGGTGCATGCAATGGTAGTGGGGTTCTGTTGGGAGGGGTTGTTCCTATGGGAAGATTTGAACACCCTAGGCCCGGGCCGAGGCAAGTCATAGAGTCGTCACGTTCTGATCTGGGCTGCAAAACTGTGTCTGTAGGGTGACAGAGAAAGCTCAGTTGTCACAGCATCTGATGTGGCAGTCAAGTCATCAGAGCCACGAACATGGAGTACAAACAAATCCCTGCGAAACCAGGTGGTCGCTGAAGAAGCTGGCAGTTTTGGCTGAGTGACTCCCTGATCGCATGGCGCTGGCCAGTTCAGTCCAGTTTGGCCCGCCATGGCAGTTTCAGAGCGTTGATAGCAAGTTTGAGGGTGTTCCTGGGCATAGGAAGAGATTGCTTTGACTGGTGACTGGTGGTGCCCTCGGACTGATGCGTCAGCGTTCAGAGGAGCGGGCGTGGATGGGGTCGCCATGCCTCCATGAGGGCAAAACGCCCTGCCAGTGGCTGACAAACATTGTGACGATGAGCGATGTTAACATCAAAGCATGTGATGACCTATTGGACCAAGTAACTACCATTAGAGATTTGGTTGCTGCACAAAGTGGAGCCGCGTCTTGTTCCACATTTGATTGACGCACCGCAGACTCTTCTGTTGGCGTGTCAGCCTCCACATCAGTCGGTGTCGGCCGCTCTTTGCACAACTCGTGTTGTCCTGTAAAGCCAGAGTCGTTGGATGTGACAAAGCACTAATGCTAGGTTTGCTGGGCCGACAGTTGTCTTGGGACTGGGAGTCTATGAACCCCCTCGAAAGGTGCAGCTCTCTGCAAAAAGGCACCGTGCAGATTCACATAGCTTCACTATGCGCATCTATACGCCGTATCAAGATATCAGAGATGCACAGTCCTCAGCGCACACATGCTTCAGTATCCGATAGAATGGTCTTCTTTCATTTAACAGAACGTGTCCGTGCCGAAATTTCGCAGTGATTTCCAACGTGAGTTTGGGAGCATGGAAGGGAGTTGGCACCTGCGACCTACTTTGTTTGGTACTAAGACTTTTTTCCTGGGACCCTTTTTGGCCCCCACCGTATGCATGCACTTTGGAGATCAGCCACTGGTTTGCGACGCGGCAGCCAAAGTAGCCTGACATTTCCAAGGTCATGCGCATGGTACAAGCTTCAGTGTCTTGAGGAGCTCAACCCACCACACAGAAGACAACGGAGCAACATGAGCAACAACAGCAGAGTCGAGTTCCTGAACAGAAGGGTGAAGAGCCTGCTTCTCTTGTATGCTCTGAAACGTGGGCACTGCCCAAGCTAAGATGCTGCAAGCACATTGCAGTTAGCAGCCCATGCCAGCGTAGCCATGCACCCGGGCAGGAGCAGAAGCTACTTCGGCATTTTTGCATAGGCATATCTCTCGAGAAGAGCTGGTGACAATGCCAAAGATCTGAGAAAAGGTATTGGAAGGTTCCAATGGGTTCCAACTTCATGATTCATGGCATTCATGGCTCTGCTCGTTCGAAAGCCGAGACCGCTACAGGACAGCCGCCAACGGCGACACACTGTCGCAGGGACACCTGTCCACCGCGTACTTGTAGCAAGATGTAGCAAGATGTAGCAAGTCTTTCTCAAATGATTCAGGGTTCAGGGTTCAGGGATGGGACATGATGGGACCGGATTTGGCTCGTACTTCTCAACATCTGATTCAATTGCGAAAGATGTGCAAAATTGTGCTGAATTGTTGGAGAGAGACTGTGCAACTGTGCCTTGGACTTTGCCAAGGCGCATCAGCGAAGGCAGCAATGAGGCTTGGTAGTGACCTGATTGTTTACATCGCGGCCTACAAAGTGTAAGTTTCAACCAGGTGTGTCGTACTGTACTAGCAGCCCAGCAGGAAGCAGATCTGCTGGTAAAGACACCGCACACGCATGAACATGCAGACCGAACCTCATGCGAAGCAAAGCACGCAGGCTCATAGAGGCTGGTTGAATATGGCAGGCTGGATCCGTTGTATCTTCATACTTCTCGGCTATTTCGGGCGCTGTTGGTGCCGGTTCAGCGGGAGACTTGGGAGAGCTGAGACCTGGCACGTCAATGCAGGCATAGTGCAATAGTATGCAATGGCATGAGGCTCCGTTTAACACGTTGGGGACCCGTGGCAACGTGAACTTGAACAGGATGCCAGGATGAGCTAAAAGCTACAAGTAAGCTACAGCTGTGCACAGCTGTGCACTTTCCTGTCGTTTGCTTGTAAGGCCGGGCGTGTTGGTCCCGCAGATTTGTTGAAGGCAGCGCTAAGGACCGCTTGTTTCTGCAGCACAAGACTTTCGTCATTAGCGCTTGTTGCTTGCACGTGTGAGAGGCAAAGACTGTTTCGCACCACGTTTTTGAGGTGTATTCGGGGGTGCAGATATTTTGATGTCAGTTGATTTTGGGCTGGGCCTGGGATATGCTTCGACTTCCTCGCGGACGAGCCGGAATAGTGCGCGAAGCTGTTGGATAGACGGAGGAGCCAGGATAGAGTTTCGTGTGCTGTTGCTGTCTTGGCTTGCAGGGCAACGTGACAGCAACACAAGCACACTGTACATTCGTTCACCTTTCTTTCTTTCTTCCTTTTGTTGATATTCACTGCATAGCTGCGCCCAGCCTGTACAGTTTCATTTTTGCCCCCTGTGGATAGATTCCTTGGACATCACGAACCTGGACAGCCAACTCGCAGCCGGACGGTTAGAGGAGCTGAAAAGGGTGTTGTGTGCTGAGGGATAGATCCTTGCCCTAACCTTTGGGATACTTTCCTAGACCCTTTGCAACTCGCAGTCGGACGGCTAGAGGACACTGGGGATAGGTGAGTGTTCAGGTGGATATCTTGTCAGGTGTACAACGTGCGGTCGGACGGCTAGCGGATACATCTGGACAATAGGCCACCAACCCCCTGGAGATAGCAACTCTAGGGATCCTTCCGATAGTCGACGTCGGGAGTGGCTTAGGAATACTTGGCTAGCTGCCTTGTGTTCCCCGTTGGCAGGGATACTGCTGCTTCTGGAGCAACTTAACACCTTACAACTGTATATACCACCTTCCTAGTCTACTTGGGTCTGATCAACCGGAAGAGTGGACACAGTTTTCCAGTTCTTCGACGGTTGCGTTTTCGGACGCATCGCACAGGTTAAGAGCCTTGTAGTTTCTGTACCGACTGAGCCGAAGGCGAGGCGGCGATAGTTCAACGTCATGACGGACTTGTGGAACGACGAGCGGGCAAGAGAGGAATATGTGGATTTGGATCGGGCTAGCTATGTGGGGGGTGGACGCACCCCCGCAGGAGTAGGGAACGGATTATACGATGAACGCGCTGGAGATGAGGATGGGAATTGTGGTAGGGTTGTCGAGGGATATATGTTTGCGGAGACGGCTTCCAGGAGGACTCGCGTTGTGGACGCAGCGGCTTGGGATATGCTCGGAGATCGGATAATGCTGGGCTATCAGAGGAGGCGAGCACGATGATTTCAGGACCTGGGGTAATGGCAGAACGTTGGGATATCAGAGGAGTTGCCGGTTGTCCGTCAGATCACAAGGAAGTGCTTGGGAATATGAAGCCTGGTGATCATGGACGTCACTTGGGAAAGGGCAGACATGACAACGCTGGAGGCGCTGAGGTATATGGGAATATGAGGACAGGTGACCGTGGATTTGCGCAGGGATACGAATGTGAACGATTAGCGGGCGACGCACTTGGTGACCAGGAATATGCGCAGGGGCCTGGACTTGCACGATCGTTGGGCGATCCACTTCACAGCGAACCGGGTTGAGGGATATATCTGCGGAGGAGTCAGTTGATGATTTCGGGGAGCTACGCGGAGCAGGTGAAGTACTTGGGAGTACAAGGCTGAACGATCAGGAACGTCAGTTGGGAGATGACAGGAATGGGCGTGCTGGAAGCGCTAAAGTGTCCGGGAATATCAGGCATGATGGCCATGGACGCGCGTTGGAGTTTGATGATCGACGTGGTTCATGCTGGGGACACGGTCAGCGAGATCGACATGCAGCGGATCCTCAAGGTCATGATGGCATCGATCGACGGATAGAGGATCCTCAAAGCCTTGATGGCACCGATCGACGCGTAGAGGATCCTCAAGGTCTTGATGGAGAGTTTCCTGGGCGGTTGAGGCCTCGACGTGGTGGCGATGGGATAGGGCTGGGGAATATGGGTGGCGCAGAATTTTCGATAAGCACCCCTCCCCCACGACCCCCGAACGGGATATCAGATGATGCCGCCGCAAGGGGAAATGGAATATCGGAATATGAAGGATGTGAGGGCAGAGTTGATGCAATAGAAGGAGTGACTATTGACATCAAGAACGCGACCACGGAGATGAATGACGAGATACGGGGTGGGCTCAGGAGGATCAACGATAGACTGGATGAGGTTGAAGAGAAGTCCATAACCCAACGAACGCAATGTGCAACGGCAATTGAATGATAGCATTCGGGATCTACGGAGCTGGATTAGGGAGGAGTTGGCAAAGGCTGTGGAACCGTTGGGCCACGAGCGTGGAGAGGCGAGCGAAAGCGCCAATCATGTTGAACGGGACGAGTTTAAAGGGATAGCGAAAAGCGTTGACAGGATGAGGTTTCGAGTGAGGTTTGTCGCGGACGAACTCAAGCGAATGAAAGGGACGATGGATTTATCGATGTCGAAGAACATCGCGGAGCCTCTGCAACAGATTCATGAAAGAGTGTCAATGGGATGACGAGTGATATAGGCACCGTGAAGGGGAGAGTTGATGCCATGGAAAAGCTGATTGAGAAGATGGGCAAGGAATATGCGGAAATCATGGACGAGAACAAGCAGCTGAGGGATAGGTTACGCGTGGTAGAATACAGTAGTCGGGACCGCGGGAATATCGCGAGGAGCACTGATAGACCTGACAACACTTGCGCTGACGATGGGGCGCGGAGGACATGTGGCAGGATCGCTGGGAGGATTGATGGAGTAGAAGCAAATGTCGCGGAGATAGCCAAGGTGCCTCGGCGTGTGCATTTTCAGCAGGCGAAGGACGCAAAACTTTCGTTGCATCCGTAAAGATCAAAGAGTTGGAGGTCATGGTTCAGGAGATGCGTGAATCGATCGTGAATATGCAAAACGAGAATGCGGTGGACAAGGGCGAACGGAGGGAATATAAAACCCAAACGCAGAGAAGAATCGAGCAGCTCTAAAACGAGAACGCGCGGCTCAGGAGTAGCTGAAGTGGAAAAGAGGTGCGAAGAGCAGCGTAGAATACGTCAGACACTACAGTGTGGAGACGGTCATGGTGGCGTTGATCCTGAGTTGAGACGACGGGAGTATCTAGGAATAGTACACAAGTGCTTTGATATGATCCTTCCTGAGGAGCCCAATCCGGCGAATCTACACACGTGGCTTGGGGAGGTGGCCCGGGCGGTGAAAAGCGCGTACGTTTACGACGGGGAGTACGGATACTCCACGATTCTGCATGTGAGGGATATGAGTGAAAGCGAATTGGATAGACCATTGAAGTATGCGGCTTTGGAAAACAAGCTGTGGGAAGGGCTGCGGAATATGATCAAATCGACGAATCTTGCCAATAAAGTGCTGGGGGAGATGTTCAAGCGAACGGCTGTGCGAGAGACAATGTCGGCTATGAGGCTGCTAAGCATGGTGGTTAGATTTTACAGCGTTTCTCCCGATAAGGAGCAGGAGGTGTTGAACGAGGCCTTGTCGAGTACTGCGTGTGAGATGTGCCCAGGTCAATGCGAGGTAAGTATGTTGGACGTTTTCATGGACAAATGGGATATCGTGCGCGTGCGGGTTGAAGTGACAGGGCGAAGCACATGGTCCGATGAGCAACTGGGGGAAATTCTGCGTAGTAAGGTGCGGCGCCTTTCATTCTTGAATCATGACATCGAGGCCTGGAGGAAGAGACCGGCAGAAGGTAAAACCCACTCATGGTTCTATGATAGGATCAAGCAAAGGATAGAGGAATGGAGGGCGGAGCAGAACCACCAGTACATGGAAGCGCGGCATCTCTCTGCCAGGGGCGGGCCGCAACCCTGAGGCTATCCGGGAGTATGCCGTATCCGCTCGGATTATAGACTATACAGATGTCAGAGAACGCTGCGCCGCGAACAGGGATAGGGAACGTCTTCATCCTAATCCAGAGGGTGATCTCATTGCAGCGCTTGTCCCGCCCAGCAATCAGCAAACGACTGATTCCACTGAGGATTTCGTTACGCAGCTCGCCCAGATCGAACGGGGGGTATCTAGGGAAAGGGGTTCGAGCAGGGCTTCGCTGAGGGATATGGCCAAGGTTGCGGGGGGGTGTTCCAAAATTTCAAAGAACAGTCCCGGTGTCTGGAGACCAATAAAGAACGAGAGGTAAGTCGTCGACGGAATGAAGGTGCGAGCTGGATCAAGATTCACAGGCCCAGAATATTCCGGGGCATGCAGGCTGAGATGGCGAATGGCGCATTGATTTTTGAGAGCGGCGAGACGCGGAAGCCCGGTCAGCACGCGTGGTGGTGGCTTGAAGCTCGCACGGGAAAAGGATGACTACAAACACGGCGCGCAACTGAGGCATCGGGGACCTTCGACGCCTCTGGGATACGGGTGGATAGTTTCGGGATATATCTGGATGGCCGGAATAGTCAGTTTACAGGCGTGGGACACATCTGGGATAAGCCTGGACAGTTCTGCGATAAGCATGGATCGCCCGAGGATACGACTGGACGGACTCGAGGTAACCTGAGTCGTTTTGGCGACCCCTCTCTCTCAGGGGTAAGGACGGGATAGAGTGGAGGCGAAGCCTGAGCGGACGGGATATCTTGGGGAGATAAATAGGATTCGAACAGATGAGATGCCCATGAAGAAGATGATGACGCGTGTGTGGCAGTGGCGTGGAATGAGCGGTCTACGGATGCCTTACGTGCATAATGTTTGCTTTGGTTATCAGGGAGGTTGGCCCCGGACTCGGTTCTGCACATTGACACATCGGCAGGCGCGTTGTAATGTCCACGTGCTCGGGTGGCCAAGAGACATAAAAGCTTGGATAGTGAGTGGCATATCGAAACAGGCGGACGGATGACAGGGACAAGCTAGCGAAGATAGAAGAGTGGCGATATCATCAAGTCTTGCTTGTCGGGGGGATAGTGCGGGCTCCTCATGTACGATTTGTGGCGGAATTTTGCATATCGGGAGTATATGTGCAAGGAAAATGTGTGATTGCCATAGAGTCAAGATTTGGGAGCAAGGGAAACCCATCGAGTCAGGATGTGGGAGCAAGGGAAAGCTATCGAGTCAGGATGTGGGAGCAAGGGAAATCCATCGAGTCAGGATGTGGGAGCAGGGATAGCCATCGAGTCAAGATTTGGGAGCAAGGGAAACCCATCGAGTCAGGATGTGGGAGCAAGGGAAATCCATCGAGTCAGGATGTGGGAGCAGGGATAGCCATCGAGTCAAGATTTGGGAGCAAGGGACATCCATCGAGTCAAGGTTTGGGAGCAGGGATAGTCATCGAGTCAAGGTTTGGGAGCAAGGAATAGTCATCGAGTCAAGGTTTGGGAGCAAGGAGAATACCCATCGCGTTAGGCGCGTGCAGCAGGGAGCCATCAAGTAACACCGGAGTTTGTCGCAGATTGGTTTTGGGATAGTGTGGATTTTCCACCCAGACGTCAGGGAATAGCATGGCCAAGGCGAGACTACACCTATGACGTTCCATCGCTTTCACTCAGGAGTTATTGGAGGGTGGACACAGTCATCGTCGACTTGATGACTGCGTGCAGCATAGCACGCTGGGGGGCTTCGCTAACCCTAGGGTTTAGGATTGAGACCTGACGTTTGTCATGGACCAACAGGGAATACAGAGCGGAGATCTTTGCTGCCCGTATCCTCCAAACACAGCAAGTGCAGGATGGAGGGCTTCGCTGTCTACAGGGAATGGGTTGGAGATCTTTGCTGCCCGGATCCTTTAAGCAGGAACCGCAGAGTGGAGGGTTTTCGATGCCTGCAGGGAATACAGAGTGGAGATCTTTGCTGCTCAAACCTTCCCGAAGGGATACAGGTACCGGAGCTTCACGTGCCTCACTTCACTGTTTTGGTCCCGAAGGGATACAGGTACCGGAGCTTCACGTCCCTTACTTCACTGTTTCGACTCCGTGGATACAGGTGTCGGAGCTTCACGTCCCCTACTTCACCCCGCAGGGATACAGGTACCAGCGCTTGGTTGCCCGGCCTTATCTGTTCTGGCCCGGGGTGGGATACAAGGCGTGCTGATTACCCCATCGCCGGTCTTGACATTCGACGCCCAGCAGTCGGACCTCATCTCAGAAAAGCTTGGAATACACATGGGGTTGGCAGCCGAGGGGATATTTATAACGTTACGCATGTAAAGGTGATGAATGAGCCGGGGGAAGGCGTTTCCATGTTCATGTATATGTCCACGCGGTGCCCACAAGCCGGGGGGAGCTTTCCATGAGTTTGAGTTCGTCAACGCATAGTTCGCCCGTATAGAAACGGGATAGTTACGATATCTAGGAAAATGTATGCGTCAACGCGAAGACCACCAGCAGAGGGGGGAAGGACAACTATGACTTTGCCTATGTCACCGCGGTATCCGCCAGCCGGGGGGAGGGGATAGAAACGCATGGTACTACAGTGAGGTTACGAATGTAGGGATTATACGTCGAGGCTGAGTACGGTGCACGGGAGGGGGGGTACATGTTACTATGCATGTGAACCGGAAGCTGGCAAAGGAAAATGCTGACGAACGTCTACGTGACGACCAGTGGCCGGAGGGATAGAAGGAAGAGGATTAGCCGTGAGCATGCCTGCCAATTCATGGTGATCAACGTTCCAGAGAGGAGGCTATCCGAAGTCTACGAGTATAACGATGCAGTGTGTGGCAAATCTGCAGAATGCGGAGACAGTGTCGCTGCGAGACGGAGCGTGCACGGCAGCGGAGGCATGGCTGATCACCAATAAGTCCTCGCGGCCAGAGTAGCGACTGTCAGTGGAAGTAGGTGTTCACCGTTGCGACGCACCCGGGCGAGAGAAACCACGACGAGAAGAAGGAAGACGCCTGCCACCGTCAACGGCGTCACGTCTGCAGTGTCTGCAGGTGTGCGTGGGACGGCTTCTCACGTCGTTGGACGAGGTGGTGTGGCAAGGGATAGATCTGCAGGGCGCATGCAAAGTCATGCCCCTAGCACATGGAGCGATGCAGCGGTTAGGAATGCCATGGCCCGCTTCTACATTGTCACGCGAGCCAAGCATGGGATAGGGATGCTAGATCGGGGATATATTCATCCAGGGCACGTACGTAAAGGAGGCGCTGGGTGAGACGAGTGGGAGCGACACAGCTGCTGATTCAACTGCGAGCAGCTGGCCTTACGGGGGTGCCATGACGAGTGCAGATCAACTAGTGATGAAACTCCCCGCTTGCGAAAGAAGGGGCGTGGCTGATCACCAGTAAGTCCTCTCGGCCACAGTCAAACAGCATTTGTGGGCATGGCTGGCCACCATTAAGTCCCATCTGCAAAAGAATGGGCTACATCGTCTAGGAGGGGTACTGAACCAAGCGACGATGTGAGGGATAGGGCCTGAACGAGATGAACTGAGTTTCGGCGTAAGGGGATAGAAGGTGATAGACCAGTTTTCCAACGATGTGGAGTAGCAGACATCTTGGGTATATGTATTGGGGCACCGCCATAGACGTGAGTACTCAAACGATGATTCCGAAGGTTTGCGCGTGACGGTGTTGCTTCCGAGGGTCGCCGATGTGGTCTTCGTAATCGCGGGTGGTGGTGGGCGCCTCAAAGGGGCTGGAGACCATGCTGGCGATCCCTCCTGCGTTTGTGTTGAAGGTCTGAAGCAAACCGGGCGAAGATTCGCGAATTCATCGTTAAATGCTGGGAGACGTCGCTCTGCGAGCTGACGCCCCCATCACGGGGGGGTGTTTCGCACCACGTCTTCGAGGTGTATTCGGGGGTGCAGATATTTTGATGTCAGTTGATTTTGGGCTGGGCCTGGGATATGCTTCGACTTCCTCGCGGACGAGCCGGAATAGTGCGCGAAGCTGTGGGATAGACGGAGGAGCCTGGATAGAGTTTCGTGTGCTGTTGCTGTCTTGGCTTGCAGGGCAACGTGACAGCAACACAAGCACACTGTACATTCGTTCACCTTGCTTTCTTTCTTCCTTTTGTTGACATTCACTGCATAGCTGCGCTTAGTCTGTACAGTTTCATTTTTGCCCCCCGTGGATAGATTCCTTGGACATCACGAACCTGGACAGCCAACTCGCAGCCGGACGGTTAGAGGAGCTGAAAAGGGTGTTGTGTGCTGAGGGATAGATCCTTGCCCTAACCTTTGGGATACTTTCCTAGACCCTTTGCAACTCGCAGTCGGACGGCTAGAGGACACTGGGGATAGGTGAGTGTTCAGGTGGATATCTTGTCAGGTGTACAACGTGCGGTCGGACGCCTAGAGGATACATCTGGACTTCCGATAGTCGACGTCGGGAGTGGCTTAGGAATACTTGGCTAGCTGCCTTGTGTTCCCCGTTGGCAGGGATACTGCTGCTTCTGGAGCAACTTAACACTTTACAACTGTATATACCACCTGCCTAGTCTACTTGGGTCTGATCAACCGGAATAGTGGACACAGTTTTCCAGTTCTTCGACGGTTGCGTTTTCGGACGCATCGCACAAAGACCAGTGCGCTTGTCAATAGCCATACTAGTAGTCTCTGCACCTTATGAGGCATTGCGCTCAAGAATGCAGTCACTGCGACAGCCTGTGAGGACTCCTGCCAAGGCGGACAAGTGCGCTGTCAGGCTCACACGATACGGTTTGTTTTTTCAAAGAGTGCTTACCAGAATTGGAGAGCGGTGCCAGTGGTGCGAGTGGTGCCAGTGGTGCCAGGAGCTCGCCATCTGTGACTGGCAGCTCCGGCCCGGAGGCACGTCTCCAACTACGCATGCCGCGCTGAATGCTTGGCATATCTTGGCTCCTGCACTGGGCACTCTGCTTGCTGCTGTCTGTCCTTGTATTTTCCTGATTGTGCCCCACCCTCGGTGTGGGGTTGTAAGAGTGAAGCATCCATAATTACTTGTCCGAAAACGGCAGGATAGCTCGCTCCCACATCAGGTAGGTGTAGGGTGGGGATAATCGAAGTATGTACTTTTGTGTTCAGTTTTTATGCTGCGTTCTTTTGCGTTCTGTTGCGCTCCGTTGCTCTGTTCTCAGCCTGTACCTCTTTGTCTCTCTCCCTCCATCTCCCTCACGCACAGGACCAGGCTGCTCTGCGAGAGGTCGTGAAGGCGCGGTGCTTCACCAAGTCACGGAAGTTCTTTTGTTATTGCTTGTTGCGGACACTGCTGAGGCCTTTGTGGAGATTGGTGTCCGTGGCCGGCTCGTCGAAGCTCTACGCTGGGTGCCCTAAGCCCTAGCAGGGAGCGAGACTTCGTAGCGTCGTAGTAGCAACTTGTAAAAGAGTGAGCTGCTGGGGGTGCCAGTTAGGGCATGCTAGGGCTGTGCATGCATCGAGCACCCATCTTGAGCTCACCGTTCCATCAAGCCACCTTGGCTTGTGTTGTTGTCAAGGTTAATGCACTTGCATTTGTCTAGTATTTGTCTTGAAGAAGCAAGAGACCAAGAACGAGACAGATGCTGAAAGTCAGTTTTTCTTTTTGCGTTCCCACAGCCTGCAAGTGCTACACCAGGCGAATAAACCCTTCGGGGGCTCAATGAGAAAGCATCAGTCGTTCATCAGTCGTTCAAAGTATCGTCTGAAAATTGACAATGACTAACCCATAGAGCCATCGTGACCTTTGTGTGGGGACTGCCGGGCTACTTGCTCGACTTTATTGGTTCGCATCGCAAGTGTGCTGTTGCAGCTGAATGCTGCGTGCTTGGTTTAGTGTCGATCCCCAACAATTGACAGTGCTCTCTTTTTGAAGTCACACGCCAGTGACGGCACTTCAGGTGGAGACGGGCGAGCCCAGCCAGTCGTGTTCCGTCTTAGCCGTGAGGTGCGCCCGTTCACCTATCCCCAAGAAATCCCACATGTTTCTCGAGCTCCAGGGTGAACAAGAATGACTGTGCATAGACTCAAGTTTCACGAAAAATCAAAGTGCTTCTCAAGATACTTCAAGCTCGGGTGGCTTTCAGATGCTTTCAGGTTGACGCATTCGAGATTGGTCCTGAACCAGGACGAGGCAGGAACTCCAAGCTGAAAAGCAAGTTGCTGGCACACAACATGGGGGACATATTATGGGCATGTTATGGGCTGGCAGTTTGAAAGTTCCTGTGAACATCGACGAACACGAAGCAACTGAAGCGGTGATGAACAGGTGCATCGTACGGCACCGGTTCGAAAGACAGAGCTCCTGTGTGTGGCAGGTCATCGTGTGGCGCTCAATGAGGCATGACCCTGCTGAGAGATCAGAGAGTCTGATTACTTGGCACTCCAGATCCAAATTCAGTCGGCTTTATCAGCATTCAGAACGAGTTGCGATGCAAAGGCTGGAGCTAGAACTTCTAGGATTCTAGTTCTGAAAGATGCCGCGCGTTCTTTCACTTGCCAACCTGGAACTTCCAGCATTTCGGCTCAAGCACAGTTGAACTCTTCTGTTTCCTGACAATTTGCACTTATCCACGATGGTGTCCTCAGGTGGGCCGCGATGGACTCGTTTATTTCTCGGTTATTTGAATTTTAGTTGACCGATCTGAAGCAGACCTTTGCGACATCCTGTTGCAGCAGCGAAGCCGGCCTTAGCCTAATCCTCCTTGTTGGAAGGCCTTCGTATCGCGGCCGTGCTGTTCAGCATTGCAAGTGCTGCGCGTCACGATGTACGCTTGCTGCATTAACGGTCACTATGTACTTGGTATTCGAAAGTTGGGCACATCGCTGTTGTCGCAAAAGAGAGTGTGTGTGGCAATGCATGGACGGCTGAGCTCACTAGCCTAGTCTGGACCGTTGCAGTCACTGGTAGATTCGGCATGAATTAAGCGGCACCCTGAAACGGCGAAGCAGCTTCAAAACGAGGGCTGCTGACTGCACACTTCTGTTCGTTCTTAACAAGGTGCATCAGCATCGCGAGGGTGCAGAGGCATCCCGCAGTCCAGAAAGATCGGAAATGCGGAAACTTGCTGAACCCAAGAACCCAATGCCACAACCGTGCCTGCAGTGATTATGCGATGTCGAATCTCCGGCCGTAGTCGTTTCTCATGGTCCTGGTACCTTCCTCCTGGGCAGGCAAAGGTGGTCCCTCGTCCCATCAGCCTGGCGCTGCGGAGGGCGGCCAGGACTTTAGACATCTGCAGGCATGTCGTATCCGATACCAAGGATCTAAGACGTTGGCAATGTTTGATCAGGCAGCCCCCGCCTCCCCCCCTTCCCTGGTTGTGTTAAGGTTAAGGCTAAGGGTTTAAGTGTAGGGTTTAGTGTCCAGTGTTCGGGGTTTAGCGTTGTGGGACTAGGGTTTGGGGCTAGTGGTTGCGTGGTCGTATCAGGCTCCCCGCCTTGTGGCAGGGGTTGCGAACCGCGAGCCAGGATCCAAAAGTATGTAAGGCCCCTTAGGTAAGAGGGACCTGGACCAGTTGATGCATGTAGCAGGAATGCCGAGCAAAAGCTGGTGGATCTTCAGAATGCCGAATCGACGGCTCAAGCCGCGAAGGCCTCCTCCGTTTGGCATATGCAACACGAACAGGGATCAGCGTGATTTTCTACTGGTCAGGCCATTAGACGGCAGCTGGGGAAAGTTGTGTGTGTCTGTTGTATCCGGCATGCAGGTTCTTTCAATCCGTTGGCAGTTCAATGTCGGCTCTCGGAAAACCATACCTTTCAGTCCCGAGCATCGCTTTGGACAAATTTGGAAGGCATTCAAGCATACTGTGCAGAAAATCAGTCAAATCCATTTGCCGGGCCACTTCTCACCGCAATAGGGATGATATCAATCAAACTCATGTGCTTCCCTACTTCCCCCACTGAAGCACCTGCAACTCGATTGTCCTGATTGAGTTTCAATCGGGCCCGGGTGCCCGGATGAGACGCTTTTTGTCTATTGAAGCTTAATATGGTGATTACCGGTGATTGCAGTCAGTCAGTCCGGCATTCTGGAACCAGCATTGTTTTCCAAGAATTGCGCGTCCGATTGGACTTCCGTCTTCAAAATGTAATTTCGTTGGATCCAAGACTGGATCAGGGGCCCGATCCAACAAGGTCCTGAACACCGGTTTGGTTAGGGTTCAGGGGTCATTTCTGTATGCGTGATCACACAGGCATGACGATCGTTGCCTTTTTGGCTGAAGACGATCGTCAGCAGTCGACCCCCAAAGGGATCTTGATTTCATTTTTGACCCACCCACCCACCCTGTTTAGCGAGGAAGGGTTTCGGTCTTTTACTTCGTTAGTCATCGTGTGTATGCCCGTTCGGGTATGTACGTAATGATTCCACGGGAAGTGGGTACGAGGTTTGTTATCGTTCCCTGCCTGAGCTCCTTGCTATGGGGTCGGGGTTTCGATCGTGGGTCGTGAGTTTGTTTGCTTTGACCTCGACGCTCGTCCCCCCGTTGTGTCTTGACTGTTATGTGATCAGCGAGTCCCGAGCGTTCGCATGTGGAAGTGTCTTTCAATCGGACCCACGTTCCATGATAGCCTATGATAGCTGTTTTGTGAGTGTTGTTAGACAGTGTAGAGGGGTGGGTCGAATACATGACGGCCTGTTGTGTTTCGTCCTAACAGGGCCCTTGAGCTGTACCGCCGGCGCAGTCAACACAGCACGAAGCTGCCAGCAATTCGCAAACTGGTAGCGTGGCAGGTAGGCGGAGTTCTCTGCATGGCTGATGCCTGATATTGTTAAAGTTCGACCCTTCCACAGTCTAACAAAAGTTTGGGAACGAGCGTGCAGTGAGCAGATATCTTTGCACTGATTTTCAAGACCTCCCAAACGCTTGCCACTATTTCCTTGAACACGGACATCTTGGTTTTCAGTCAGTCTCCCGACATTGTTTCCAATAAATGAAAAGGGCTTTACCACCTAATTTCGGAAAAGGGATGTATGAGCAGGTGTTTCACTAGTGATTGTGTTGAACGAGCTTGCCTGCAGGGGAAGGCGGGTGGGGCGACAAAAACAATACTCCCCCCGCACAATCCTCACACAAGTGTTAATTCTCACGTGCTGGGATTGGAGAACGTGATTTGTAAACAAAGCGAACATGTCTGCTTATTTCTAGCAAATCTCCTGAATTCGAAACAAGCAAGCCCAGACCCTCAGAACTTCGGGGGACATGGAGTTGGTTGATATTGGAAAGATTGTGTGTGTAGGTATCGTCGCTTGAGGAGGCGGAGGGCAGGGGGTGGGTGCTTGATAAGGGGTAGTTGCAGGGAGGGTCGCCATATTTGCAATGCTGGTTTTGCAGTGCATTGCGCAGCATATTGTGCTGCGTTGGTCGCGGTATGCTGCGTGGGGCATGCCAGTGCCGGACCTGAACCAGCGAATCTCGCTGTGGACTTGGATTGGACAGCGGCGCGGTGATTGCCGTCGCTGCGCAGCTCCTTGTAGTCCTGCCCATGCCAGTCTGCGAGGGGCTGGCAGCCCCATCCTTGAGACAATTTAAGCATGATCAAATAAGATCTCAGGTTGCACCGGTACATGTTTCATGAAGAGCCAAAGGAGTAGTGGACCGTTTCAATGTTGCAAATGATGGGGGTTGGTTGCACCGCCCAACTTTTTCATTCATGTCCTTGTGTTTTATCTTTGTTGTTTCTTGATGGTGCTCACTTTGTGGCCATCTTGCTGGCCTTTCCGGTGGTAAAGTTGATGAAGGTGCTTGATAGATCTTGATAGCCATCTGCAGTCGCGCTTCCTTGTGAACTTGAGACAGCTATGAATGGTCGACTTTGTGGTGCGTTGAACTGCTTGCAGGAGATTTCAGAAACGGCGGCCACACGAAGAGACTTCGCCGCAATACCATTTTTATGAGTGAAGGCGTCAGGTTTTTGACTGGATTGCATGCTTGAGGTGTCAACTTGCCACTGCAAGCATGTGCAAGCGACCATGTAGCGCCTGTTGGGCGAAGCACTCCCTCGTTGAGCCGAGAAATGTCGCTGATGGAGGAGATGAAGGCTAAGACGACTGAACAACACGCTCAGGTCGAGACGTAGCTCGGCAGAAAATGCGGAGCATGCAGGTGTCCTCGTCTCACGGTCATAGCATGCTATGGGCATGCATCGCTTTGCATAATGTATGATCTCAAACTTCATATTCTCATAAGCAGGCTTCGGCCAACATTGAGCGTCGAATCATCATCGCATCTTCGAATGATCGTGACATAGCCTCGGAAAGCACAGGCACATCTTTTCCCTCAAAATGCAGTTTTGAGGAACGCTGCAGACATCCATCCTGAAGGATAGGAAGAGTTCGCAATCTGTGCACTTGAAGAATCTAGTGCTAGCGAGACTGAGACTGCCTGACTTATGGGGCATGCCTGTTGGGTACCTGAACAGGAGCCGCAAGGCAATGGCTGCTGCTGAGCAGGCCTTCCACACCAACAGTTCCGGTTCTTGCCGATAGCGTAGGCATGCCGTGATGGCGACGAGACAGCCTGCATGTGCACGTAGATTTGTTCAATTTGTTCACATCTCCGAAGAGTCAAAAAAGTACCGAAAAGTCTTCAGGCGGCCTCCGAGCACGCGACTCATTCTGGAGACCTGGAGGTGCCCGGAAAACGATCCACATCGATCCTCTATGATCCCGCTAATTAAGCGACTGCTCATTTGCTTTCCCTAATCTTTTCTCAGATGTTTCAGATTGCGTTGTCGATTCCGTCGGATTCCACAGCAGATGTTCATGGAGCGAGCCACCATCTTCGGGCTTTCAGGGGCTCCGGCAAGAGTATAGAGACTGCGGGCATCGCGTGAAGGTTGGTGCAGTTTTCTGATGTCTGCTCTGTGTCTTCGAACCACCGCTTCAGGAGACTCAGGGAAGGATTCTGGAATGTAAGCTGAGAGTGTCATGACATCTCATAGTTTTGATTCCTGCCAGCCCGATGTCATTCCGGTCACCAGAATTTGTTCTGCCAGGCTGCAGTGGCCAAGTGGAATGGGCTCAGCCAAGCTGTTGAGGAGCGTGTTGCACTCTTTGTGGCAGGTTTATCTGGCTGGAGTCAGGTATGATTCTGTTTGTAAACATGTTCTGCAACACTGCCCAAACCCAACCCGCAGTGCAGGGGATGCAAGAGAACGTGACCATGATGCTGCCGGGCTGCAGTGGTGGATGCCATACGAGTACTGCATATCGAGCACAGGGGTTCGTGCAGCCTCTGTCATCGGTGGACGAGCAGGGTTGCAGTGAATCCAGGCAAGGCAGTAGCATTCCTTGGTTCATGTGTTCTGTTCATCTTACGTTGTAAAATTCTGAGG